AACAGCTAGACAGGCCTATTCCAAAATAGTCATAACTTCAAGTTGTTCATCATTTTAAAACTGAAAACAAAACTAGAAGCATTTTCAGACTTTCCTGGGAAAGCAAGATTTAAAAAAAAAAAAAACTCTTCCTTGTCATCCCATTAGAATAGGGTTTCTTAATCTTGGCACTGTTGACATTTTGGAATCATCTCAGATAATTGTTTTTTTTTTTTTTTTGGTAGGGGGGTTTCCTGGGCATTGTAGGAGGTTTAGCAGCATCCCTGGTCCCTACCCACTAGATGGCCACACCACTCCCTCATTTGTGACCATCAAAAATGTCTCCAGACATTGCCAAGTGTCCTGTGGAGGGCAGAATCACCACCACATTAGAGTATGTCCAGATCTTTCATCATGTTGGTCACATTTTCACTGAGGAGCCTTGCCAGGACCACATTATAAGGCAGCTCTCATTTGGGTCAAGTAATGAGTAAGTTGCAGGAGTTCCATAAAGCATTTATGGGTTATGTTTCTTCTACTGCTTCATAAATGCAAGTCCCTTGCACTCTTGGCAACTACGAAAGACATCAGTTTCTGCCACGTGCTATGACCAAACCAACAGTCACTGTCATCAGATATTTTTCTTAGTTTGAGTTTTAAAAACAGCTAAGTCTGGAATGGGTCAAACCCTGCCAAACAACTAAGATGAGGTACTAATCAGTAAAAGAGCTTCAAAAAGCCTTTTAAATGGCCCTTCCTAGCTACCATCAACTCATCTTACCACGGACAGCACATTTTAACCAGGACTTCGAACAGGTTCGCTGCTGAGACTGTGCATTTCTAACAAATTCCCAGGTGATGTTAATGCTGCTGGTTAGGGACCAATTCTAAGAAACACTTAGAGCAATGGTTCTCAAAATTTATCACACGTAAGAATTACCTGGCAATCTTGTTAAAATGTAGATTCGGATTCAGTATATCTGCGGTGGAAATGCAAATTCTCAGCAGGGGTTCAAACTGAATCAAACCGGTTGGAAGCCCTGGTTTTAACTTTCTCCTTCGAGACAAAACAAGGCAAGGCAATAAGTATCTTGATCTTCACTTGAGCACTGAAGAAACTGAGGCTCACAGAGGTTAAGGTAAAATTATGACCATGATAACCCATCTTGCTAATTGCAGGACTGGACCTAAAAAGCAGGACTCCTGACAGTCACTAGATCATCCTGCCTCTTACCATCCAGAAATTATTTCTTAGGCTTTCTTATCACTTTCCAAAAAGAAGAGGAGAGAGGGAAAGGGAGACAGAGAAATGGATGGAGAAAGAAATGAGAAAAAGTATTAACATTAATATCTCCTATAATTATAATTCATAACTGAACTCATGATGAAATTAAATGTACTATTTTTACTGATGACTTACTGAAGTCAAATTAACAAGTGGTAAAATAGAAAAGGAGCCCCTGGGTGGTGCAAACTGTTAACTTGCTTGGCTGCTAACCAAAAAAGTTGGAGATTTGAGTTCACCCAGAGACGCCTCAGAAGAAAGGCCTAGCGATCTACTTCTGAAAAGTCAGCCATCGAAAACTCTTTGGAGCACAGCTCTACTCTGACATACATGGGGTCTCCATGATTCAAAGTAGACTAGACAGCAATTTTTTAATAGAAAAACCTCCTCTGTCTTAGTCATCTAGTGTTGCTATAACAGAAATACCACAAGTGGATGCCTTCAACAAACGGAAGTTTATTCTCTCATAGTCTAGTAGGCTAGAAGTCCAAATTCAGGGTGTCAGCTCCAGGGGAAGGCTTTCTGTGTTTGCTCTGGAGGAAGGTCTTTATCATCAATCTTCTCCTGGACTAGGAGTTTCTCTGTGAAGGGAACCTTGGGTACCAAGGACTCGCTTTGCTACTGGTGCTGCTTTCTTGGTGGTATGAGTCTCCCCACTCTCTGCTCACTTCCCATTCATCTCCTGTAAGATAAAAGGTGGTACAAGCCACACCCCAGGGAAACTCCCTTTATTACATCAGGGATGTGACATGAGGTGTTACATCCCACCCTAATC